AGATTTCTATCTTAGTTAAAAAAAATTCAAATATGGGCAAGCACACAATTACTGGAAAATATCAACGAAGAGGTGAAATTAAGCTAGGGGAGCATATAAAGCTCGGTATACTTTTAGTATTATAATACAGAAATATTATAAGAATGCAATAACAATATTCAGAGAGAAATAGCATCAACTATTAGCTTCATTGAATAGTACGACAAAAATAGCCGGATAAAACAAGCAGAATGAACAGATATTGTTCGAATCAGACTATCACAGAGTTAAGACTATCATTGAAAAAAACAGTATTCTGGCACATAGAATATATAACCTATATTAGGTATTAAGTGCAACAAACGAGAAGGAAGTCAATTCAACAAATCGGGCAAAATGTTGCATGAGCGGTTGCAGAAAATTTGTGCTACTCACGAAATCTTTTTTCAATGTTTAGAACATTTTCTGTAACCATTGTGGATATAGAGTAAATCCCTTGAGTTTGCACCACACTAACCCTGGATATACAGAAATGTGAAAAGTGGAGATGTACACATTTTCTAGACTGTTGTCCAATACCGAATTAATGGATGTAAATTCGGACGATATTCCTCTTTTAATTTGAAAGCTTATATCTCTCCCTTTAACAATTAACAATCGAGACCATCCACGTCTTCTTCCACTGCTCGATTAGAAATGGAACTATCAATGATCATTCTGTAGCCCTTTACTCAAGCCAAAAAAGTCAATGTTTTTTAAAACGAAAAATGTTTGGTAATTTCAAGAAGTACAAATATCCAATTTGTAACAAACTCTACGTGGATCCTCTAGACACCGATTCGATTCAGTGTCATCTGTATGTTAGATGGTTTCACGAAAACTGTACAAAATATGGAGATAATAAGAATACAATTTTCATTCATTGCTTAAACTTTCGAGCCCAATACGAGACTCACCTTGCACTTTTATTATTTTACCATTAAGCTCGCTTGTCTACGAAATGGGATATTTCAAAGATAAAATTAGATATACAAGTGGATAATTTTAGAGATTTTTGGCATTATTCCGATATGTATCATTTTCACAAGAGTGCTGTAAATTTATTATAATCAAAATTTCAAATAAATTATAATTAAATTTATAATTAATATATAATTGCCGCTTTAGGCAGCGATTTAAATTATTATAACAGCATAGTACTAATTACTGTAATTTTCGAAGGTTCATTTTTTGACTGTTTATAACGGCCAATGAATATTTAGTCTGTTAAATTTTATATTATCAATGTATGTCAAACCTTTGTTTAAATTTCCAGAATATAAAATTAACTTCATGTGGATCAATTACAAAAACATGCCTGATTCATCGGGACTTTTCAATAATTTGTGATGATGTGTTTTAAAAAGCTTTCAAGGTACTCTTTGAAAAGCTCACATAGTCAATTGTTTCTAAAGATCATTCTATATGATAAAAAGACTCTATTGTATCGGATCTAGGGAAAGATATAATTAGTTTTAAAAATGAAAATTATAATAAATGTAGTTTCTGTATTTTATTACTGGTTAATTAAGAATAAAATTCAGTTTAACATGTTTCGACTACAAGTCATCATCAGAAGCGTCGTTAATTAAAAATTGGAGTTCAAACACGCTTCTCAAAAATTTTCTGAGAACGCTTCTGATGATGACTTGTAGTCGAATATACTGGTAACTAGATTACAGAATCAACAGTGATCATAAAGATATTATAAGTCATGTTAGGTCTCAGTTAATCAAAAGGCATTGACAATGTTGGTCGCCCAGCAAACAACCGGAAAACTATGACAAATTGTTGTTCAAGACCTGCAGCTGGTTCCTTACAAAAATTAAGTTCATCGATCAAAATCAAACATTGATGACCATTGCTAATGAATGATATTTGTAAGTGAACATACAAATTGTCAATACTGTTAACACACACGAATTTGATTGAATATGGATTGGTTACGACCACTTTCAGTTGGGTAAATACGCTAATAAACAAAATTACGGCATTTGCACCTCAAACGATGTTCTGTCTGGTGTTTTTGTTTTTTTTGACTTAAAGTAATATTTGGTTATTTTTAAGTTGTAAGTTGGCAGCGAAATAAAAATGGACACTTCCTGTCGAATGAGAAAAGGTATCAGGTGCGTTTTAGTTATCCTTTAGACAAAAACCTAAATCTGCAAATGTCACTTAATTAAAAACAAGAAATTAAAGAAATACAGTTCATTTCAAAATAAATAGCATACAGAACATAACATTTGGTCCTTNCGAGTATCATCAACTAAATTTGAATGTTCGTAGTTACTATTCAAATTTGAATAAAATCATCAAGCCACACACAAAGCAGAGAACGAAGTGTCGATTTGTGTGTGGCTTGAAAACACATATCGGCTAGGCGGACCAACCAACCTTGCACCTCGACCCTAAGGATTTATTGTACCCCGATAGATATCGTTATCAAATTTCACCGTGCAATCCAACGTTCTGAACGAACATTAATACCTTGCTCGGCGAAAGGTCATTCAGATTCTTTGGGGAGATAACCTGCGACCCAAAAATCGAGAATCTGATACAGGTTAACAGCAAGGCAGTGGCATAAAACATGCTCAACCATCTCCGCTACCTCCGCACATAGTCGGCATGCAACACCGTCGGCTAAACCCAACAAGTTGAGGTGTGCTTTTAATCGGCAGTGTCCAGTAAAGACACCCATTAGCACTTTTATGCTGCTACGAGCAAGTCCTAAAATATTCCCGGGTTTGACAACGATGTTAATAAACACCTTAGCATGTCTCATTTCAGGAGACCTATGTTTGGCCATCGCAAATGATACACCAACTGCTGGTTCTGGCCCCACAAACGCTTTAGCGCTGCCCTCTCGTGCTAGCTCATCTACCGCTTCATAGCCAGCAACCACAGAATGACCCGGGACCCAGATTAGAGAAACTCTGTTATCACAACTCGGTGTGTGTAATGTTCTCTTGCAATCATTAAGCAGAGCCGACGAAAACCCCTCTCTCAAGAAGGATTTTAGCACCCATGCCAATAGCAAATACTTCCGCCTGGAATACAATACAGTACGTACCCAGGCTGTATGCTTGCTGAATTCGAGGTGTCTGGCAGTATACTCCTGCTACGACCCCTTCCGGCGTTTTTGATCCATCTGTGTACATGCAAATATCTGCCTGAACCAGAGAATTTTCATTTTCGATCCAGGACGATTTCGCACCCCATTGGTAGGACATGTCGGAACAGTTTTGAGCATATTGCTTAAATTTGTAATTGATAGTTTAGCCACTTTTTCTATATGCAAATGCAGAGACGATAGGCCAAGCATAACCTCCATTGCTAGAGTTGGCGTTGTGCTTATCGCACCAGAGATTGCCAATCCAGCTACTCGTTGAATTCGTAAAAGTTTACTGATAACTGTTAACTGTCAGTGATCCAAGCCCTGTTCCAACGGGCAGAAAATATATGCGATGAAAAGAATTTAAAGAAAGAATAAGGATTCGTTGAGGATGTACTCCAGAAGAACGGCTACACGACTTTGAGGAATATCCAGCGGGCCACTAAGCAACGCAAGCAAAGGGAAGACATGGTAAGTGCTGCACCAGGCGGTTTTATTTGCCTCCTTTATGTTTCAGGTATGACGGGGCGAATTATAAGGTATCTGAAGAAGAACGATATCGCGGTACACCATTAAAGGGAGCGGGAGCTTCTCTGCTACCATGTTGTTGAGCATGGGACGTATGTGCGACTAAATAAGATCCAGCAGTGGACAGTCGCAGAGCATTGCCACAAAATGGGACACACCAGGTTTCGTGCTTGCCAGAGTTGGAAATTATTGCCAAAGGATGACAAGGAAGGCAATAGAGATTCATCGACATAGGAACAATATAAACAGAGAAGACAGCTAGGAACTTAGCAGCACATAGAAAATGTTACTTAACTTAACTTTCTTCCCTCGGATTTAACAAAAACAACTTAGTTGACAATTAGTCAGTAATTAGTGTTAATTAATTATTATATTTATCAAACTCCTCCCCATTTCGTCACTTCGAAGTTATTTCTGAAGAATGAACATGGTGTCAAACACTTTTTCAAAAGATATGGTTCAATCCGAAAGTTTCTAGGTCTAGTTAGTTCTAGTTTTATTCAATTGTTATTGGATATTTCAAACCCTTGTTATATATATCAATATAAAAATAACATATATAAAAACATATCTACAGTGTGTTAATTAATTATCATACCCGACGTCATCGTTGCAAGTATGCAACCAATAACGCGATTTGCGTATTGCAGTACGAATATTGTGGTATTGGTTGCATACTTGCAAATATATTTATTTAACCCACTGGAAGTTTAAAACTACAAACTGTTATAAACAGTTGTTTATATAAACGTAGTGGAGTTTGTCTTCATTGTTAAATGTGTTGTGTTGGAGTACAACAAATTTATTTTTGATAAAAGGAATTGATTAATTTTCAGATATGTATTTTAAATAGAAATCCTTCTAGGATATAATGCGGTGAGATCTTTAATGGTCGGTCTATTAGTATACTTAATTACATAAAGTAATTGTTTTAATTTTGAATTGCTTTGTATGTACGATTTAATCTCTTTGTAATATGTTATTCTAATTTATATACTTTCGAATTACCCTGAATATAATTTACGAATAAATTAACCTTAAAAACAACAACAAAAATAAAACTTCCAGTAGAAGCAATTAGTTCCGGAGTCTAGAAAGATAAATAACCACATCAGTATTACTTAGATAGAAGGCGGGTCAGCACTTTTATAGCGTAGTAACACGAATGGCGAATTAAGACGTCTTTGGATTTATGGTACAGCGGTACCCACCTTCCAGAATAGACACAAATATATAACCACTACAGTATATGGAAAAAATAAAGGGGACCGTATTAATTTAACAACCAAGTAAGGTTACTATGTCTTTATGAGACCGTAAAATAGAATGGGTTGAATCTTACCTTGTGCAGGAGTAAGATGGAAGCTGCTGCAGGCGACAGGCTCAGGTGTACAACGGAACGTCTGTAAAAGAACATAGACGACGATGAGAGCGCAGTGCATAATATAGAGCGACAAGGATAAATATATTAGTTTGTTGCTTTAAAAATAGTCTTCGTGCAGGGAACAAAAATTGATGACGTTTACGTAACATCTTTTTAAGTACACGTTGACCTACAGCTCATAAAATTTTTATGATTCCCATTTGCATTGTCAAAAGGATTAAGGAAATTTTATGCTAACATAAATTATCTCTCCAACAGCAAAATTTGAAGAAAATAATTTTACACAATACCAGTTGTTTAACTTTGTGAAAATTAGTTTTAGTCAACACCGAAATGAATAAGAAACTTAGTAACCCCGAGATGTTAATCCAACTTTGTGAATTAATGAATTTATACCCGAGCATAAAACCTCTACAACTACACTACATTTCCGTTAGTTTCTTTGCAAATTTATTACCATAACAAATTATAAATTTTATTCGCGAAATGATCGTCAACCAATATTATTAATCGCGTCAAACCTCCAGGGATGATTCATCATAAAATCCAATCAATTACCTTGGATGTATTGCATTTAAAACGTAATATATTTTCGATAAACCACTATAAATCTACTAATAAACGAAATAATGTTAAAATCTACCAGTATCGCGTTTTAGTCCGTGAACGTGGAAACTAATTATTAATCGGGCCGTAATTAACTACGGTCAAAATTTTAATAATATCACACGTGTAATAGCGATGGGTGCTCGTTGATGCGTGAACAAAAGCTTCGTCGAGATTACCGAGAGAGCTTTTTTAATTAAAAAAGATAATTAGCGACTGTCCACCAACCCGAGTTCAGCACAAATAAATTCATTAATTAATAAATAATAGCTGATCAACAACAAAATTAAAACTTTTTTAATCTATTTCAATTTATAAATATGAAAAGGATTACGTTTAGAAAGTATAAATAATTAGTTGCTCATTATTAACCTCATTGATCAATATAATATAAATAACTTGTTATTATTTTATGAGATGAAACAAAATTATTTTAACGATATTGTTTTTCCGCAAATTAAAATTGTGTATATGTACAGATATTTTAAACAAAATCATAACGCTATTTAGTGCACCTGAACAAATGTATATAACCATATTAAAACATTGAAAATGGATATAAAACATTCATTTATTTGGTTGACGGTTTATCAAAAAATGTATTACCAAATATTTTCGATAACAATGTGTTATTTAATATCCATTAAATTTTGTGTACGATTTTGACAATACAAAATTTAGCACAACAAAGCCCACCCACATAAACCTTCTGATGATGTAAATTGAAATGAACTTCGAATTTCGTAGGCCAGACAAACATATCGTCGTTCGATTTACGGACACAAATCGTTTATAATTTCCAGGACGATTATGAATTCGTTAATGAACCGAGCACTGAAATTCCGCGAACTGCCAACAAATTTTTACACGGTGGCCAATTATTGAATTTATGGAAGTTCAACAACGACAATCATCGTATTGACAATGTTAATATAAACGCGATATGTTTATTTAAACCACGAATTTAAGTTAATTTATTAGAAAATAATTATAATTTAATTGGAATATTTGATTCGCGTTTACTTCTTATACAAATTTGAAAGTAAGGTTGTGCACAACTTTTATTATGCAAGATGAACCAAAACAAAATTCTAACCTATCTAATTATTTTTTTAACACATCAAGACAAACAAACAAAACTCTTAAATAAACTTGGCTCACAAAAGTCTTTTTACTTAACAAGTACTGAACTACGAACGCTTATTGTAGGTTTACACAATAATGGAAAAAGTTTTAGCGAAATTGCAAAAATTGTTATGAAACTGTCCAATCTATTACTAAAAAATGGAAAGAAGCGGGTAGCGTAAATAATAAATTCAGATCTGGTCGCCCAAAAACTTTAAACAATAGAGACATTCGGGTTCGATTAAATAAGATTAAAGAAACAACTGCAACAAGTTTGGGTACTGAAATCGCTATATGAATTAAGAAACCAATACTTCCTGAAACGTTAGACGATTTTAAAATCGAGCAGATAAGTGTAAGGACACTAAAGGCGTAAACCGCCAACGTCTAAAGTTAACGCTGAAAAACGTTTCAGTTTTGTCATAAAATATAAAGACAATGATTTTTGGAAACAAGTCGTTTTTAACGTCAGCATGAAAGACAAAGTGCCTGAAACGGCACGGGGGTGTCGACGTCTGAAAAAGCGATGTTATGACACCATCCCATAATGTCTGCGAAAGTCCAGCTTTAACGCGTCGACCTGATGAGTTCATGTGTTTACGAACGAAACACAAGGTGTAAACTAAGTGTAAATTGCGTTGGCTTCGGAAAAAACTGGATCCTGCAGCACTACAATGATCCAAACTGAAGCACATAACTACACTCGACGGCATAAAATACTCATCACCTAAAATGATGACAGGTTTCAAAGTGCAATTACTTTTGAACGTATAAAAAATCAGGGTGTGGTCAGCATATGAGTGAAATGTATAGTATTGAAGTCGTTCTGACATCGTGGATGTATACACATTATATAAAAGTAGACTGAGAATACTGCCCTGCTGTACGCCAGAGGCTAATGGTCGCCGTAGAGACTGGCGATCATTTAAAATCACCTTTTGCGTCTACCCGTTAAATACTGAGTAAGAAGAGAGAGGGATTTATTGCTCAGGTCACTGTAATGTAAAATAGAGATGAGAGTATCAACATCAAAGGAGTCAAACGCTTTCGAATAATCTATAAGAACTAAAACCGTGACCATTCCCCGATCAGATATGAAGAAGCGTCGATTCACAGCTAAGTAGAGGTTTAAACACTTAAACTGCAATGCAGGTATCATTTTGTTATCAGATAGGATAAGGCGCAGTTGCTTCTCTAAAATCCTTTCAAAAATTTTCGAAATTGCTAGCAGTAAACTAATTGGCCATATATCCGAATTAGCCTCCTTCCAAGAGGAAGGAAATGTGTTGGTCTCGAGACAGGTGTTGATAATATGTGTTAAGAATTGAATAATATGTGGATAGCATAGCGTTAACATATACTGTGAAATACCATCAGCACCAGCTGATGTGTTTTTCATTGAAAGAAAAACTTCCTCAACTTCTGCCTGAGAGACTAGTTTGAATTCGCAAACCTTGACTTCAGTTTTACATGTATTTAGGTAAAAGCTTTTTATTTGATGCAGCGAAGAAGCAGGAGGAATAGCAGATATTAGATAATCAACTACGACTAGTAGTAGACGAGTAGTGGTAGATTTTGGATTACGTTTAGCTCTTTTAATAGGCGCGTGTAGGTCGAATAAGTATTGCTCGATTTGAATAAGGTTTTATTTATTTGAAAAGTTTACCGTTTGCCATTTTGGCACTCTCCAATTTCAGTAATGCTGAATGACGCTAATGCGTTTATTCTTACACTTTGAAGCTTGCTGTGGGGTGCATCGACAAAAGATATTAACTTTAAACATAAGGAGCTTGTAGTCTTGTTTGTTCTGATCATTTCGGTTTTTTGTTCAATTTTCTATTGTTGCTAAGACCAGAGTTACAAGCTCTAAAGTATAACGCAACTTCTTCGGCAGCGCCATCAGAAATTAAAGCAATCCATGGAAATTGACGAAAACATTTCAGTGGCGTTTAGTAACGTCGTTGACTGTTGCTACACAAGAAAAATACCTTTAAGTCTTGCAGAAGTTGCACAGGCAGTGGCTTTGTCGTCCCCTATTTTTCAAGCTGCACGCTTTCGACTCATTTAAATTTAATTTTTGGACGTCTTAATTGATTGTAAGGCTTTGTTTTTCTGTTCTTCGACTTGATTTTAGTATTTGTGGAACTTTAGAGTTATTTTTGCGCGTTTTATACTAAGTTCACACAGAAGAGTTTTTCTATTCGTCCCACGCCTGTCCTCTCTTCCAATGTTATAATAAATGGTGAGTTTCCTAATCGTTACAAATCACGAACTATTTTTTGTATTTTTTAATTTATTTTGTTGTTTACAGATTTACTGATTCAGTTCACATGTTTTTTGATTTTTTAGTCGTGCTTGATAAAGACCACCCGGTTGGTTGAAACATTAATGTAGCACTGATTTAATAAATAAAAAATATTTTCATCATTATTTGAAATTTTAATAATACTAAGTTCTCTACTAAGTTACATTCCGACTGCGTTTCGTATAAAGACATTGGTGTCTACAATGCCTTGACGCTTCAGCAAGTAAAGAGGCACTGTCATCAAAGTTGTCATATAGAACTTCTTAGCCTAGTTCAATTTGTCCATATGCAGCTTCAGGTTCGTCATAATCATTAAAAGCAGGAACTAAGTGGAACAAATTTGCCACTTCTTTTGCACTTTCAAGCGTCTCTGCCTTTTTTCCATTCTTTTCTTCTCCGATTTCTGTGTTGCTGGTGTTCTGGATTATGTTTCTGATATACCTTTGTTTCCTACTTTTTCCAATTATTAAAAGGGGTAGTGCATGGTTATCACTAGCATTTGCACAAATCATCGGTATAATCCGTTCCTTACTTACTTTAAAACCTCTATCAGCTTTTCCTTGGCGGCAAGCTAAAAATATTTAATGCATAAATTTCCAATTTATCCCAGTTTCATCACAGTTTTAAGCGTCTTTTAAATTTCGTATTGAAAAATACTGCGGCAGAAGTAACCTGACTCTTAAATAGTCTGGATAAAGAATATGGGAATCTCTATCTTAACTTGAAATATTTTAACTATACGGTTATGGCTTTAAAGTCAGCAGGACCCCCGATTATTTCTTAAGAACTTTTTGACATATCAAGGGTTTACCAAAATTACGCCAAAAGTAAACCACAAATACACAGCATCTTCTTACGGCTTGTCTTTCACAATTTTTATCGTTTTCCTTCGTTTGGATCCATTATCTAAACGTAGCTTGGATGCAAAATACATAATGTCGTCTTTCTTTTTTCTGATGTCTGATATCCTACATTTTTGCATG